TAAAATTTTAAATTGAGGAGTGTGATTTAAAAAGGATAATGTTAGCACAAGGACCTTACAGATTCATTAGCTTGGCAGTACTTTGGTTGGCAGCTCGTAATCGCAGTGAGAAAAGAAAGCGTAGCAATCAATATAAATAATCCTGTTTGGATAACATAGGTTTTGAAAATATAATTAAATAATACTTTAGTATGCATGAATAATATAAAACACTATGTCATTTATTTTATTAGAATCACACCACGCAATCTCAATATCTTACACTGGTTGTAAATTGTCAATATAGTCATGTCAGTAGTGTGATGGATCGATCGTTGATTTAATTTGCTCTCTGCTTCGCCTACGCCGTAAGTGCGTACGACTTATTTTAAAATAGAATACAAATGTCGGACGACGTTAAAGAAATATCTGGCTAAAAGTCGCTTCGAATCTGCGACATGTATTTTTGTAGTACTTCTAGTTAAAATAACAAAGATAATGGACAAAAACTAATATGCCCAAGTTTTACTATTACGTTATTATAAATACCTTTTTAGAGTTACGAAAATTTTTAATAGATAACTTTGTTCGAACGTTTGAACGTTCGCAGAAATGTTCAAGTATGATGTGTCACTTCGTCCTCTGTCAAGTAATATAACCTTAAAGTTAATTGTAATAATTATTGATTAAAAAAGCTAAATATAAAGCATACATAAGTAGCGTTGTAAAATTTTAATTAAATATCGATCATGCGTTTCTTAGCGAATGCGATCATAATTAGCTTGCAGCTAAACCATTCCACTGTTTCATTTAATCTGTTCCCAGCCGTCTTTATGAGAGTTTCTTCTGTATTATTTTACACTGAAGTGAACTAACGAGTTTCTTAGCGACAGTTTTCGGTATTAGTGTTAAATTTTTATGGAAATGTTTTACCAGACTGTTATTGCTTAAGGTGCTTTGAATGAATGACTTTATTAAACGACCTTACAATATCAAAATTATAGGTAGGGTTTTTTTATATAAAATAAATAAATCAGTGACGCTACATCCTCTTTTTTAGGTCTGGGCCTCAGATGTCTGTATTTGCTTCATGATTATTTGTCAATCAGCCTCCCGTACCGCCGAGGTTTTGGGTCTCAGGCAAGCCGGTTTCCTCACGATGCTTTCCTTCACCGTTTGAGCGAATGTTAAATGCACACATATAAAGAAAGGTCATTTGTGCACATCCGGGTATCAAACCTACGACCTATGGAATGATAGTCGCACGTTGAAGCCAACACTGCACTGGGTTTTTAAATATTATTAAATTATATATTTTATTATATATTCGGCTTGAAACATATTTCATATGTAGATAGTTCGCTTTATTGAATTTATTAACATCTCAGACTATTTACTACAAGTCAGATATCTATATAAATTTGCGTCGCATAAAGAAAAATTTCATGGTTCCAAATGCAACCTACATATTCGAAAAAATAATTGTTTCGCCAGAAATCTAACCTTAGAAACAAAAAATTGCATGTCATTGCATTGCATCATTAAAAACAAAAGAATGCTATTCGCTTTAAAGAAGAGATAAACAGCTAAAATAAAATGTTACTTTATTATAAAAACTGAGCTTTGAATACATAATCCTCTGCAAAGGGCATTATTTAAACTTTAAACCTCGTTAAGTTCTGTTCAGTTTAATGTCGAACAGAAACCTATTATGTTTCCTAAAGCATTTTAATTTATACCACTAATGAAGACGTTCCGAGCATGTCTAGGCATTGAAGGAAGACAACGCGACGCGACGCAATTTCCGCTTTTTAGTTTCAAAGAGCGCACCGGGCTCTTTAGCTACTACTATGTGTTTTCGATTCATAATATCACCAAAAATAAATATTTAAACACTTTAATATTGGTCGTAAATAATTTTACGCTGGTTATGAGATAAACATATAAGAAAAACTATATCTTAAACTTTATTATATTGTTGCATCATTTTACTTGTCGCCACATTAGGACATTTCTGTCACCAGACCCTTGCGAGGTACAACAAAATAACAAAAATCCAGTACTAAAAATGCATTAAAAGAAACCAAATACCTGTTGTTGTTTGTTTTTCTGTAGAAAACTAATTGTGTCTAAAATATTTCTAGCCGTGCGAAGTCGCCAGTACCTAATAGCAATTGTCACTAAGAGACGCCTGTTGTCAAACGCATTAACAAAGTCAGTTGCAAAACGGTACGAACACGGGACCTTTGTTTTGATCTTTGTTTTTAATTTATGTTATTATTATTAATTACTTAAGATGTCATGTGGAACATGATTTAATGGTTGCAGCTCCTTACAAACGTTGTGTAAAAAAAAAACAAACATGGCGATTAAAAAGAGTGGCGGAGAGTTTATTGCCAGTTCTTCTCTTCCGTTCTACGCCCTTGATTTGAGAACTGGCACTAAATGTAAAATTAGAAGCATTAATATGTATTTCTTTACTGACAAGTCATAAGTGTACAATGTGTTACTCATATGATTAAATGATTTTTGAATTTTGAATTTTTTGAATTTTGACCTTTAAATATAGACTTTACAAATGTACAAATATACTAAAAAACATTTTTTTTAGTTCTAATCCTTTGTGAGTGTATTTTATTTTATAAATGATAAACACAATATTGAGTATGTGTACTTGGTATGTACTTCTTTAAGTATGGAAGAACATACTTTATTTAAAATCGATATAAGTGAAATGCCACTCTAATTATAAATCTATTGAGAACTCGTAGTAATCCTCAAAGGAACCACTTTGACAAACACGGATGAGCTCAGAATTGGTTCCGCTGTTTAGTTGCCTAATTGTTTCCCATTCGCTTATTTGTAACAACGGGACAAAGCTAATTTGTAACTTAATATCTCGGAGGATATTTATAAATTTTACAAAAAAAATCGATTGTGATATGATGATGATTTATATGTTATTGTTAAGGAGGAAGATTGGTATCTAATTAATTGTAGCGACACCTACGTTCTACGGCTACAATATTAGACACTATACCCTGAATCATGCTAATAAAGCACAAATTCGACCCCACCTTCCAGCTCCTTCCGCTTGACCGTATTCAATGAAGAGCGATTCGAATCGACTACGACAGTCTCTTTCCGAGCGTCTTGATCCATTGGCGTTGCGTAGAGATGTGGGGTCACTCTGCACCTTCTACCACGTTTACCACAGAGTGTTCAAACTAATACCTGCAGCTGAGTTTCATCATCGGACGTGAAGACAGAATACAAAATACCATCCGTATCACCTTGACGTCCGTCGTTCCAAAACTAAGCGATTCTTATGGCAATTTCTGCCGCGCACCACCATTATGTGGATACAGCTGCCCACTGAAGTATTTCCGAACCAATTCGACTTAGGGTCCTTCAAGAAAAGAGCGTACCAATTCTTAAAAGGCCGGCAGCGCGCTTGCGAGCTTTATGGTAGTGCGAGTTTCCATGGACGGTGGTATCAATTAACATCAGGCGAGCCTCCTGCCCGTCTGCCTCCTGTAACTATAATTTTTTTAATAATAATAATAAAGCTATTCCACCACACGTCATATATACCTACTATTTGACCTTGGGGCCGCTAGGGCCTTCGTGCTAGTTAGAATGTTCTAGGAGGATCTTTACGCCGGGAGGACCAAGCACTGCACCCTACCTCAACATAATTGATAAACTACTGAACCGATATAAATGATTCTTTCATAGTTAAAATGATATGTTATCCCTGAGTAACAAAGACTATATTTATTTACAAATTATTTAAAAAATATTCAGCCGTGCCAGGGACTTGCTGAAAGATATGTGTCACCAAGAGTCGATGGCAATTAAGTGAAAACATTATTTGATTTCAAAGTACACGTATTTTCTAAATTGAATTTTTGTTCTTCAATTTTTCCTTCTCTTTAAACATAAAAAAGTTTCAATTTCAATTAGTTAAATTGTAGGCCTCTGTTCTATGTGAAACAGAAAAATTCTATTAAAAAATGTTATATTATAGCACGTATAAATTAAAATAGTTATTTGGTCGTTCTTACGTCTCATACAGTTTATAGTTTGATATTCGTTGTATTATCTGTGACTACAAAGATAATAATTAAAATCTTGTCGTTATATAGTTTGAAACAATCATTACGAATCTTTCTTAATTAATTTAAGAATACTGTATTCTATTTACTCGCTCGATTAAAGGACTTAAAACCTTCCAAACATTATAAAAAATATTAAATAATATGGCCTCAAGTATATTAATCAACATCATTTGAGAAAAGAATTGTTAAGTACTACGCCTAGGTCTTGAATAAATGCAGATGAGATACTAACCAATACCCGTACTCTGTAATAATAATGAAACCAACAATGAAGTTATTATGGGCAAAATTCAATGGCAACCTTGTATTGTATGTCGATCCTAAAGTTAAAGCTAAACATAGATGGCAATTTTTTTGAAGTGAAACTTCTTTATCGAGGTTGGAAAAAAATTTAGTGTAACATTTTTTCGTTACGCGTCACATTTTTCGGTTACGCGCCATGTTGCTTTTTGAAGTCAAACTTCTTTATCGGCGTTGGAATGAAACTTCTTTATCGACGTATGGGAGAAATTTTGTAGCAAATCGTCACGTTTTTCAATGATAGTAATAATTCTATTACAATTAATGAAATTCTATAATAATCTTCGTAGTAATAAGGTAAAATGAAATATTTGTATTCATGTCTATGATAATAAAAGCCTTTTGTTAAACTTTATCTAATTTAACGAATTTCTGTAATGTTGCATATAGTAGATCATTTTTCGAAAAATAAGATCATAAAGAAGTTTCACTTCTTACGTGTGTACACCTAGTACACGCACAATTTTTTAAATTAGAAATTCAGTCAATTATTAAGTAAAAGTTAAATAATTAGAGCAAAACACGCAGGATATTTTTAGTATTTAATTATATATATGATTAAGAATTACTTCCCAATTCAAAGGTCCAATTAGAAAGCAATCACATATATAATCCGGACAGTATTCCAAGTTTCACATCGTAATCCCCATCTCGAGATGTAACAGGAGTAATGTTGAAATTGCCAATATCATTGTTTTCAATTTCAATCTTGAGCAGAAATCGATAGCCTGGGGGCTCGTCAAGATTACTGGGGTCTGGGGTGCTAGGACATACCCTCGTTTTTAATATACGAAGGCTCCAGGCAACGCCTTTATCAGGAAATAGAGAAATGTGCATTTTTGATGATATTCCAATTTCGATTCGATGAAATTATATCGGCAATTTTAGTTCTTCGAATTCTTTCCTTAATCAACAGCGCGAAGCAATTCAGAAATTTTAATAATATTTCGAATATACCAGAATAAATTATAATTTATTAATAAATGTTTAATATTCCCGCAGATCCAATAGCTCATTGTACAAACGAACTGTATCGAAAATTTCATTAAACTGAAAAGTAAATGGAATGAACGTGAATTTTACAGTCGAAAAAATTTCAAACGACCCCACTTGTACCCAATATTGCTTTAAAGAGACCGCATAATTTTCTGTTCATCGAAATCGTATTATGAATCTTTATTTGATCCCAATTTTGCGAAAAATACTTAACCAGATTGTGGTTGGAGTTATTTGTTGTATTTTACGAAATACAACAAATGAGCAGTGGTACGCCACTGCTTATTTCACGTTTTACAAATTCAAAAGTTTAGTATGATTGTTTAATCAGGCGACGCTTAGTGATTTGCATTCATCGTGATAAACTTAAACTTTCAAAGGACTTTTCTATTGTTAATACATATACATTGACATATTCTGCATCATAATCTTCGAACACACGCTTTAAAATTCTTTTCATAAGAAGATCTAACCGTACAGCTTGTGACAAGCGACTTTGTTCTATGCTATATAAAAAAAATGAGTGGCGCTACAACCTTTTTAGGTCTGGGCCTCAGATTTATTTATCTGTTGCGTGCTCATTTGTCTAATAGAAAAGTAGGTGATCAGCCTCCTGTGCCAGACACACGCCGTCGACTTTTTGGGTCTAAGGCAAGCCGGTTTCTTCACGATGTTTTCCTTCACCGTTCAAGCGAATGTTAAATGAGCACATAAGCAGAAAGTCCATTGGTGCACAGCCGGGGAACGAACCTGCGACCTCAAGGATGAGAGTCGCACGCTGAAGCCACTAGGCCAACACTGCTCATTATGCTCAGTTCTATGCAATATACGACAATTATTTCGTTAATAGCGGTAGGAGTTTTATACTTGTGTTATAAATTGCTAGAATATACAGAATATTGTTTACGTAACATATATGTTATTCAGAATATTATGTTAGGGTGCGGTATCAAAAACGAGTTGGAAAGTCCGGAAAGGCTTATCCCGACATTAGTATTCGCAAAGTTGTAAAAGAAAACATTAAAGGCGAGCGCCATGTGAATACTTAGCATACACGTGTCATAATATTTGGTTTTTAAAATTGCAATTTTATATGCTTTTCTATGGCTAAATATGCTATCCTCGTGTTTAATTTTTTTATTGAATTATAGTGTATTCCAAGATGTGTGGTAAAAAATACTTTGCGATTGAAAAGAGTTACGCAGAATTACGTCTTATTTCTTCTTGTCTACGCACTTGTAAAAGTAACATAAATATGTGATTTTACGTTATACCTGTTCACCATTTTTTATATAAAAGGACTAGATGACCTTTGACCTACATATATTTGTGTGGCCAGAAATTATACAAAAATTTTGGTCTATATTAAATGCAATATAATTAATCAATTAAATGCTTTACATATTATTATTTGCCTTTGTTTCGGTGCGTTAATATGTAAAGATGATGGTTTTCCGCCTCACAAACACTATTCTCTATTTGTCTATGCGCGAAACATGGAAACTCCAAGTTGTTCCCGCAAACCTGCAACGACTGACCTGACGATTTATTTATGGTCATGCAAACGCCATACGGAATTTGTAGTTAAAATCGAATTTTAAATTCGTTGGTATCATCGATATACGTGGAATTTAGATATCCTCAAACATAACAACTATTTAAAATGAAGACGTGTCAGAAAATACTTAGCAATTGAGGTGCGCAGTTTCTTGTCATTTCTTCTCGTCCGTTCTACGCCCTTGACTTAAGAATCAACAGTTAAGGTAAAGTTAGACATTTAATCTTTATTTTTACGTTCTTATGTGTACAAAAGTAACATGAATAAGAGATATGTGAAGTTCAGTTAAGCTTTAAGTAGACTTTTTTATCTCAATGCTCCGTATACTGATTATGTATTCAGAAAGCAGTATTATGAACTTCTTTTTAATAAAGACACTAAACTAACATTTCCCTTCCCTAACAATGTTACAAACAAGCTACCCAAGCTAGACACCGGTGCACGTTTTTGACAACCTGCTCGCTGCAAACTCGTATGTTAATATTTCTACTCCTAGAATTCTAGGGTAGGGATAATTTTGAAATGGGACTACAACTACTTAGATGTCTATATATGTGTGTAGGTCCGTATAATTGAAGTGGCATTTGCATAGTTAATGTTATGTGTGGTTTCTCATCACTGAGGTCGTAGATTCGAGCCCTGGCTGTCCACCAATGGACTTGGCTATGTGCCCATTTAACACTGATAGTGCGATGAAGGAAAAGAAAGTAAGAAAATCGGCATGCTTTATACCCAAAAAGTCAACGGTGTATTATAGAAAGCTGATCATCTACTTGCATTTTAGAAAACCAATTATTGTAGCGCACATGATTTTGATATATTTTTTTTATTTCTTGCGTCCCAACATTGTCGTATTAAAATATGTATCTGAGTCTGTTCCTCATAATACTTTTATTATTTATATTATATTGATTTATACATACAGTCAAAACCGGTTATAACGACATTGAAGGGACCGTATAGTTGCCGACGTTATATCCGATAGTCGTTATAAGCAATGTCATGTACACAAGTACAGTACATATGTATGTACATAGTTATCGATCTAGAATAGGTAGGTATGGGTTATAATATGGTATGTTAATATTATAATATGTAAACGAGTCAAAAAAGAAACAAAAATATTTATTACGAAATAATTAGGTACAAAAGTAATCAGTCAGTCTGTTTTTTTTTAGCCTGAAACTGTTCGTTGGGAGAAAGTGCGTAGGTAATAATATGCCTAAATATTCATTCAATGCTTATAAATAAAATTTAAAATCGTTTGTATTGTTTTGTTTTACTGAGACAAGAAGCGGTTGGTCGTTATATCCGATGAATATCGATAAACTTTCGTCGTTGTAAGCGATATGTCGCTGTATCCGATGTTGTTATAAGCGGTTTCTTTACTGAATAGTTTACTAGGGATTCGGACGGGACCATACAATCTGGTTGTAATAACCGATAGGTCGTTGTAAACGATGTCGTTATAAACGGTTTTGACTGTATATTTATTTTTAGCATCTTAATATATATGAAGCATTACTTTAAAGACTACGTGGCGCCCTCGAGTAAGGTGGGTTTGAGTAAAAGAAGAAAAAGATAGGGATATAGGGACAGAGAAAGCGACTTTGTTTTATACTATGTAGTGATAACAAAAACTTAAACACATTGTTAAGCTGAACGACGAAAGACGTCATTGTTGCGCTGTCGTTATCATCAAAGTGAACAAAACATAATGTCTCACCTTACTTTATAAAGACTTGAATAGATTTGTATTGAATCTGTTTCATCCTATATAGTACATACATTATGGCATGTATCAGATGTCTGCAAACATCCCACGCCGCGGTTAAGGGTGTCTACGGTGATTCATCAATTGCCACCCTTAATGACGTCATTATTGACTTGAGAGCCCATCCTATGTTCGGTTTGTTATTCGGTAGAGAACGCGCGGTTTAACACATAATTTTAACCAAAGTTTATCGCTTAACACTGACAACGCACCGATGTTGATGATGCATAGATCCAAAATATGCTTCCATTAACAATGGTAGTAACGCTTCTATCGAATAAATTACCTTATATATAACCTATATCATGAATCATATACACACTCCGTTACTATTACATAGTTACCATAATAGTGATGAAAATCAATAATATTCTTGAATTAAAAACATAGGGTACGTTTCTATTTGCCCATAATTATATTTTTCCGTCATTATCATTATCTTAGCGATAAAAATCAATAATATTCTAGAATTAAAATCATAGGCATTTGCCGATAGTTATATTTTGCCGTCATTATCATATATATCTTACTAAGAACAGGGATAATTTATTAAAATATGTGCTTTACTAATTACTAACTGTGAGTGGTGGTAATTGAGAGGTCGCTGAACTTTTCCATCCTAAGTTTGAACGAATGCATTCCGCTGAGTAGGCGCAAAAAATTCTTTGTATATAGGCAAACGTCGTGAACGGAACACCATCCCGTACCGTAAAAACAATTACATCCAAAATTAATTCCAAATACAGAAAGCTGATCATTAGTCACGTATTTTTATACTTGAAACATAAGAAATGGTAGGCCCAAAGTGTCACTGGATATTCCCCATTTATTACTAACAATTGTAGCTATTTGAAATTTTAAAATTGAAAAGCATTCCACAGTAACCGATGATTTAACAATAACAATGAACCTCTATAGCATTTAATTAACAGCACAAACAGAATAAAATATTTACATATACTGTATTTGTTTGTCTGTGCCATCCGATAATTTTGTCGCATGACGCTAATGTGTTTGATTACTAGAATCCACAGAATAAATGTGATTTACGAAACATTATATTTTATTGACGATATCAATACTGCGGGGTTCTATAACTTTCAATTCGATCCGCAATTTCAATAATGGCAATTTTGATCAATGATTAATCTACAGCAAAAATACTCATCACGAAATATCATAAATTGCTTGACGTACAATGCTGGAATTTCGCTTGGTAGTTTTTAGTTTAGACAGATTTTTTTTGCTACAAAACTGAAATTTGGAAAACAGATCGATAGTAAACGTAAATACGTACTGTACGAATATGGTTAGTTCAAACAAAAATAAAATAAAATGTTTAAAATTTGCTTTAAAAAAATTGTTTTGTGTACTGTAAGACACTCTCCTTAAAGCCACAGCTAGCGTCGAAATACTGGGCATTAACATATCAAACGACGTTCAGTTTCGCAGTCATTTGGAGGGAAAGGCTAAGCTTCCAAGAAGCTTGGTGTCTTCAGCAAGGCAAGA